GGGGACATTTGGTGTTAGAACTGCTGTTTCTAAGGGCACCAGCCCCCCCCCCCGACCCCCGCACCAAAGGGGCCACAGAGCTAGTAGACCAATTTCTTCCTCTATTCAGTACTTCCTGAGAACCCATGTGCACGGAGTTTTATCTGCCATCCCAGGGTCACAGGGCCGGTTCAGACACATTTCTAGAAGCTCACAATCTGGCGGAGGAGGTAGGCGTGGAACCACACAACTAGAAAGCGAGATAGAAAATGTCTGTATCCTTAAAGAAAAAAGGATCAACATCATCCACGGTCTCTAGGGAATTAAAAGAAGGGGTAGATAGGAATCCACTTGAGGTAGATCAAAAAAAGCCTCGTGAAGAAAGACAGTGGCCTTTGGGCCTGTCTTCAAAGGACAGATGTGAATTGGGAATAGGCAGTATGGACAGGCAGGAGGAACAGTGTGGCAGAGGTACCCAGGCAGGAAAAGGGCAGGGAACAGTGTGAGGAACAGTGTGAGCAGCTAGGAAAATGTCACATCTCATCCTGTCTTTGAACATCGCCTCCCAGCCAGTGCAGATATGAAGCATCTCTGCTTGTCCTTTCTTGGCAAGGAGGAAAGACACGTCCTCCATCCCTTGTATCTCAGGCGAATTCCGGTTTTCTTTTCTTTTCTTTTCTTTTCTTTTTTTCTTTTTCCTCTTTTCTTTTCTTTTCTTTTTTCTTTCCTTCCCTTCCCTTCCCTTCCCTTTTCTTTTCTTTTTCTTTTTTCCTCTTTTCTTCTTTTCTTTTCTCTTTTCTTTTCTTTTCTTTTCTTTTCTTTTCTTTTCTCTTCTTTTCTTTTCTTTCCCAGACAGAGCCTCCTGCTTAGGCCCATAAGCCATGGAAAGAGAACTTGGGTTAGCATGGCATGGCTAAGAGCACAGACCCTGGAGTCTGACAGCCTGGGCTGGAATCCTGGTCCCACCCCTGACAAGCTACTTCACCTCTCTGTGCCTCAGTTTCCCTCTCTCTAGATGGGACGTCACAGACGTTGGGGGACAATTAGATGAGGAAGTGAAGTGTGACAATGATGCCGGGCACATAGTGAGTACCTGGAATTCTTGACCATGGAGAACAACCCCCCCCCCCCCCGCCTGCCTGTCCGTGGCACACTCAGGAAGACGGTTCCGTGTAATGCCCGGGTTCCCCGGAACCGCGCCAGGGAACCTCTGCCCTCGGGTGGGATGTGGAGCATTTCTGGGACTCTGTCGGTTTGCTTGTGCTGTCGTGCAGGGTGCCCACTGAGCACGCTCACTCTAAAAGGAGCGCTGGCAGAGAGCCTCCAGGGGACTCGAGGCCACAGAGGGTGTCCCTCTGGGACATGTGCTTCCAGGCTCACTTCACCCGTGGGCACAGAACACACAGGGAGAAGGTGCCTGAGCACGTACACATGAGTCGTCCGCGCAGGACGTTCCCACAAAATTCAGCCCACCCTCCTCCCTTCATGCAACAGGGCTCTATGGAGCATCTGCTATGTGCCGTATCCTGGGGTTGAAGTCAGGTGGCCTAGGAAGGTCTCTCTCATGAGGTGGCATTGCAGCAGGGACCTAGGTGAGCCATTCAGCATCGGTGGGGGGGAAGGCCTTTGGGCAGACAGCACAGCAAGTGCCAAGGCCTTGACAGAAGGCTCAGACTATGTTAGAGCCACGGCAGATGTGTCCGGGGGAGAGAGATGGAGGGGGTAGGAGACGAGGTCACAGAGGCAGGGAAGGCCTGGTCAGATCAGACTTTATAATCAGGTCATGGTTAGCGCTAAATCAATCAGTCAATAAGGTAATGGCCGAGACAGAGGTTTCTCTGGAGTAAAATGGGAGGGCAGGTCTCTGACAAGGTGACATCCGAGCAGAAACCTGTGTCAAGTGAGGGATCAAGGCTTGAGGACATCCAGGGAAGAGCATTCTGGGAGAGAGAGCTCAGCAGGTGCAAAGGCCCTGGGGTGGGAATATGGCTGGCGTGTTCGAGGAACAGCAGGGAGACCAGGGGGGCCGGGGGAGAAGGGGCGAGGGGTGAGCCCGGGGCAAAGGGCTAGGTACCGGCTATCTCACATAGGGTAAGGGGATCGGATTCTTCTCTGAGCAAGGTAGGAGCCAAACGAGGTTGAGGGCAGAGGAGGGACAGGCCTTGAGGCAGAGGTAGGTGTGACAGCAGGGAAACCAGCGTGGCAGCGGGACCCTTCTCCACACTGGGGTGGCCAGGCCTGGCTCCTGGTCAGAGCAGATCTCAAGGGGGTGCTGATGGCTTCCTCCTACCCTTTGCCAGGCTGGGCCCCGAGAGGGTGGAGCGCAGCGTGCGGGCCGACCCCCCTTCCGGGAGGCCTGCGGGCAGCAGACTCTTGTCCAGGACAGAAGGATGTTCTTGCTGACTGGGAGGAAGCAGCGCACCCCACATCAAAAGGAGGCCCCGGGTGGCTCCCACGCTCGGGCATCGTGGGAACCCTGCTACCCTGGGTTCTCTCAGGGGGGCCTGCACGTCAAGAGAGGCTGGGGGCTGCCTTGAGACTGTTCCCCAGCTCTTGATGAGTAAATAAAAAAACAGCCCCCACCGTCACAGCCTACTCACAACCTTCTTCTTGGGAACAAGTCTCATTTTTGTAAATCGAGCCCTGTGGTTTTTAAGGGGTGTCAGGAATTGTAGGGCAGCTGAGATTTTTAAAACCTTCCCTTTCTGAGCACCCCCCCCCGCCCCCCGCTCCCTAACTCCCAGGCCAAAGACTCAGCAAGACCAGGGGCATGAGCTGGACCAGACATTGGGCGTGAGGTAAACCTCGGGTAGCGAACTGTCCTCACTGATCGGTAGGGGCCGTCCTGACCTGAAGGATTCTGCTCAGCTTGAGAGCGTGCAGTGATGGATTAGTGATGTCTGCCGCAGGTGGGCCATGAGGAGTAGTGCTTTGCACGCTACGTATTGTCCGTGCCCCCCGTTTTACGGATAGCCCTGGAGAAAAGGATTTTTTTCCGTGAGATGGAAGGGGAAGGAAGGAGGTCGGGGAGACCTAAATATATCGAGACCTTAACAGAGTGTCTACACTAGAACTCTTTTGAAGGACAGGGCAGGGAAGAGGAGAAGCTTGAGGTACGTGCCTCCTTGCTTTCCTGGAAGAGTATGGGGAGGCGTAAGATTAGGTGATACCCTTTAGGCAGGTCCTGGAGGATTATGACAGACCCCGAGAGGGTCGGATGGAAACTCAGCCCCGTCTCTGGGCTCCCAGCAGGTTGCTAGAAGGAGAAAGTCATCCTCCACTCACAGCCCTGCCCCCAAACTATGAGCTTTGCGTGTTTTACCTCACTGGACCCTCGCAAGGCTTTATGCCCATTACAGGTGGGGAAACGGAGGCACAGCACCTTTCCCCACACACCCCTCGATTGGCCAGGCGCTGGGGGTCCCGCGGTGCCCGCCCACCAGTAGCACCCGTGCAGGAGCGGTGTTCGGTGGCCTTGGGTCACCATAGTGTTCGAGGACCCTGACATCTGCTCCCCAAGCCTGTGTTCCCTAGCGTGTGGATGTGTCCGTGTGCTTGTGTGTCTGCGTGGAGGTGTGTGTGTGCATGCCTCTGGGGTGGTCTGTGTGTGTGTGTGTATGTGTGTGTGTATGCGTGTGCATTTCTGGATCCACTGTGGCTGCACCCAAGCCTGCCAAGCATACCATTTGCTAAAAGATGCTTCCCAGCCAGCTCCCTAGTATCCTCTGTGCCTGCCAGGGGCAGGTGACCAGGCAGCCCCGGCCAGGCTCAGACCTGAGCAGCCAGGCAGAGGGGGTTGTCGCAGCAATTTCCCAGCTGTCACGGCCCCCGTCCCTTCCTGGCACACCCCCCAGGCCCCTCTGGCGTCCCGGCCTTTGAGAACACTCCTGTCCATCAAGACATCCATCCAGCGTTTTGTGCCCGTCGGCGGCAAGACAGTAGTTCACCTGCGTGTCCAAGCACTGAAGTCACGAAGACGCAGGCAGGCACACGGTCCAGGTCACCGCGGATCTTCTCAGTCAGCCCTCCCAGCAGCCCTGGGGGTGAGGTATCGTTATCCCCATTTTACAGGTAGGGAGACCAAGGGCCACAGAGGCGAAGTGACTCGCCCAGGCTCGTCACTGCAACACTTGCACGGCTTCCTCTCCCAGGTGAAGAGAAGACACCCCGTGACTCAGTGGGCCGAGGTGCGGGGAGGTGGAAGTCTTCAGCCAGGCCTGCACGTCAACGGGGCGATGGTGGTGGTTCAGGGCAAACACGAGGTGCTGCTTTATAGATGGGAAACGGGCTTCTGAGAGGTGCCTGATGGGCTGCGTGTCAGCCAGACGGTTAGTGCTTATTAAGCTGAGATATGAGAGCAGCTCTGGCTGATTTCAAAAGCCAGAGAGCTCTGTGGTGGGGGAAGGCGAAGAGGGGAGGCAGGCTATGTTTTCTTGGGGGCTTTTCATCTGAGGAGGGGACAGTGCCTTAGTTACAGGAACTGTCATCAGTAGATCTTCGAGAGGGGGGACGAAAGTGTTCCGTGTGAAATGTCTTTGGAAAACCTGGATTCGTCATTGCTAATCATAGTTCCTTATGCAGGACTTGTCAGAGCCTTTAAGATGCTCATATATGTTGTGAATTTCCAAGGAGGCAGTGAAGTGTTTCATAACTCATTTGCTCCCTGAATCCTTCTTTCCCAGAACCTTTTATAGGCACTAGTGCTCCATATAGGAAACTTGGAGAAATGCTAGAATGGCTAGGTCACTAGGAGTTGGGTTTCAGGCACAGCGGCCAGTGGAAGGCAACTGTTGGCCCCCAAGCTCTCACAAGGGAGTAGGGAAGAGTCAGTACTCATTCCACTGTAACTGGGGCAGAGGTCCCAATGACACCCCACCCCATAAGAGAAGGATGTCTATGTCCCTGGCGGTCATATTCTAAATGACACAGAGGTGCAGGTATGTCCGGAAGCCAAACCAGAGCCCTCGGATCTTCCGGTGTGTGGGGCTGAAGTCCAGCTGCGGCCTCTTTTCTCCCCTCAGGGTCCCCGCGCTCCCGGTGAAGAACTTGAATGGTACGGGGCCCGTCCATCCGGCCCTGGCAGGTGAGATGCAGCCCCGGAGGGGCAGAAGGGCGGGGCGCACGAGGAGGCAGCCCCACCTGTCTGCCCTGTGGCCCCGCCCCTTGGCGAGGCTGGTGGGCGGGGCCCAGAGGAAACGCCCCCTACCGTTGGACCGCGACGCCGGGGTAGGCGGGGCCCGCAGAAGGCGCTCCACTCGGCTTCCAGCTGGGGTGGGGCCCAGGGCCACCCCGCCCACACACCCGGGGGCCCCCCCCCACGTTCGGGGCGGGGGGCGGGGCGGAGCAGGTGGGCGGAGCCTGGGGGAAGGCCTGCGGCGCCCTCCCGCTGGCGGGAGGGCTGGGTGGGCGGGGCCGGGAGAACGCCCCGCCCCCTGACCACCCCGGCCGCGTCCCCAGGGATGACCGGGATCCTGCTGTGTGCCGCCGGCCTGCCCGTGTGCCTGACGCGGGCCCCCAAGCCCATCCTGCACCCGCCGCCCGTGAGCAAGAGCGACGTCAAGCCCGTGCCCGGCGTGCCCGGGGTGTGCCGCAAGACCAAGAAGAAGCACCTCAAGAAGAGTACGCCTTCCGCGCCGACCCTGGCCCCACTAACTAACCCTTGACCCTGACCCCTCAACTCCCATCTGTTCTTAGGACTTAGGCCTCCACCTCCGTCTCCTGATCTCTGCTCCCTTGCCCCTGACCCCCTCCGCCACCAACTCTGATTACATCAGCCGCTGGCATGTGACTCCTGCCAACCCCTCTGTGCCCCCCCACCCCGCCCGAGCCAAGCCCTCAGGGTGGAGACCCTGGGCACCCTCCAGCCCGCCCGCTGTGTCCTTGCAGGTAAGAACCCCGAGGATGTGGTTCGAAGGTACATGCAGAAGGTGAAGAACCCTCCCGATGAGGTGAGCCCCCAGCGGAGGGTACTGGCCTGGGCAGACCGAGGGCCCAGCCCCTGACCTCCCTTCTCCTGCCGTGGCCCCGTGTGTTACAGTCTGTCCCCCCCCCCCCCCCCCCAGTTTGGGCTTGGCCTTCTCCCTTTTTCACAGTGTCTTCTGATGGACAGAAACGCTTAGGTTTAATAGAATCACATTTACCGATCTTTGGATGGTTGACGGCTTTCGAACCTTATTTGCACCCATATTTTCCACCCAACGTTCTAAGTTTTGCCTTAATCCCCCTGGAGAGGGGTGGGGGGTCATCTCTACCTCTGCCATGTGTCGCCAGTGTATGGGGGTGTCCTCTCTCTCCCTCCCTTTGACAAGGGGGCACCGGAGAGGGGGCCGTCCGCCACCCTTGGTGGCCTGGGGCCTGGCTCCCGCCAAGGGGCAGCGCTGACCCGAGGGTGTCGTGCCCTGGCCCGTCGTCAGTGTCCCCTCTGCGCCCCCTCCGTCAGGACTGCACCATCTGCATGGAGCGGCTGGTCACAGCATCCGGCTACGAAGGCGTGCTTCGGCACAAGGGCGTGCGACCGGAGCTCGTGGGCCGCCTGGGCCGCTGCGGCCACATGTACCACCTGCTGTGCCTCGTGGCCATGTACTCCAACGGCAACAAGGTGGGCGGCGCGGGGGCAGGGGGCGGGGCCGGGACGCCGCGGGGTGGGGCCTCACCGCCGGCCTCCCCTGCCCCAGGACGGCAGCCTGCAGTGCCCCACGTGCAAGGCCATCTACGGAGAGAAGACGGGCACCCAGCCGCCCGGGAAGATGCAGTTTCACCTCATCCCGCACTCGCTGCCTGGCTTCGCCGACACCCAGACCATCCGCATCGTCTACGACATCCCCACAGGCATCCAGGTGAGGCCCCCGTGCCCCTGGCCCCCGCCCCTCGGAACCCTGCACGGGTCCCCCACACCTGTCCTGGCTCAAGCGTCTGCTGCCCGCCCCCCACAGGGCCCTGAGCACCCCAACCCAGGCAAGAAGTTCACCGCAAGAGGCTTCCCGCGTCACTGCTACCTGCCCAACAACGAGAAGGGCCGGAAGGTGGGTGCTGGAAGGGTGCGGGGGTGTGGGAGCAGGCTGGGGACCCCCCTCACCCCCAATCCCTGTTTCCTGCCCGCACGACACTGACCATCACCTCCTAGTGCGTGTCCAGCCCCGCCAGGTGGCTTCACACACATGGGCTCATTTCCAGCTTGAGGAGGTCAAGGTCTTGACCCCATTTTACAGAGAAAGAAACTTAGCCTCAGAAAGGGCAAGTAACTTGCCCAAGATCACACAGCTGGTACACGACGGATCGTCTGCCTCCCTTGTTTTTCAAGAGAAGCAAGAAATTCTGATTTTCACGTGAAATCCCCAGGCCTTTGAATATTGCCCAAGAAGTCACAAGATGGCTGTGTAGTCAAGTGAACACAGCCGAGGGCCTTCAGTTGGAGACCCAGATGAAACGGGCAGATAGCCTGGAAAGAGCTCTCACTGCGGGCGGGAGGGGGGGGTCCCCTCTAGGGAAAGAAGCGGCCAGGCTGGGCGCCCGTGGGAATGCCGCAGGGCTTAGCAGGTAGTGAGAGGGCCACAGCTCCGCCAAGGAAGGAGGGAGGCTGGGCGGGAGGGGCTCCAGCCACAGGGGCGGGGCTGCCCGCGCCCTCCGCTCACCCCCCCTCCTGTCCCCACTCCTGTCCCCCAGGTGTTGAGGCTGCTCATCACCGCCTGGGAGCGGAGACTCATCTTCACCATCGGCACGTCCAACACCACAGGCGAGTCGGACACCGTGGTGTGGAACGAGATCCACCACAAGACCGAGTTTGGATCCAACCTCACGGGCCACGGCTACCCAGACGCTAGCTACCTAGACAATGTGCTGGCCGAGCTCACAGCCCAGGGCGTGTCCGAGGCTGCAGCCAAGGCCTGAGGCCCGGGGGCGGCCCACCTTCCCTCCTGCTTTGCCCCTGGTCCGGCACTTGCCTCCCTCTGCCAGGCGCGTCCTGGTGGCCCGGGTTCAGGGCTGGGGAGGAGCCCGCGGAAGGAGCCAGAAGCGTCCTGGGGATTTGGCGGATGGCGGTTGGAACGATGGGAGGAGGATGGCAGGCCAGCCGGCTCCGACCCGCAGCTCCCTGAGAGGGTGGCGCAGAGAACACCGGAACCACAGTAACCTCCCTACGGAAAAGACAGAGCCCCACCCCCTCGCGCAAACACACGTGTCCTGGTGAACACACGCACGCACACCCACGTGCCTCTACTTACCCCCGGGCTGGGGGGAAAGAGACAGAAGACCCCTGTGATACTCCATGTGGACTCCCACCCGCGTCTCTATCACATCTGTGTAGGCTTGTCTGCAGGCGGGATTCACCTCAAGCGCCTGGGGGAAAGGGGCCCCCCTCTGCTACCCACTGATGGGCACTTGTGGGCCCAGGGGGTAGAACCCCAGGTTAGTCAGCAGTTTTGCAAAGGGGCAGGCCAGAGAGAGGGGGACTAGAGGGACCTTGTTTTGTGCTTGTGTCTCTTCATCCTTCTGGGACTCTCACCTCCTTCTTCTCCCCTCCCGTCCCCAGGCCTTATGTCTGTCCCAGATAAAGGCACTGTTCTTTCCTCCCCATCCTGTCCTCTCCGCCAAATCGCTCCCAACGCCGAGATCCAAAGGCTGGATGAGGCCGAGCTTAGGCCAGCGGGTCTAAAAAAGCAGACCGGACAGCAACGAGTTCATTTCCCTTTCTTGGGAGTGGGCAGTGGGGTGGCCGATGGTCTTGGCCAACCAGGGGCCTGTTGCCCAGGCAACTCACCAGCTCCGCCTCTGTTGATTGGCTGCCGCGGTGGAAGTCAGCCAAGATTTAAAGGGACGCCAGCGATTGCTCTTTGGAAAACCTACCCGTCCCACTGTGGGTGGAGAAATAAATGGTCTTTCTCCTCCTCACTCAGTTTTCTTTCCTGCCGAGACGGGGGGCTGGGTGGGTGGCTCTGTTCCTGGGGGGCCTCTGGCCCACCCTCCCGGGGAGCTTGCAACGAAACGATGACCCCAGGACCACTGCCTCTCTCGGTCTTGGGCAGCTGGGGTTGGAGGGTCTCCATAATTCTCTTGTCCCCGGGTACGCAGCGGGTGTGAAGGTGGCCGAGGCAGAGGGTACCCAAGAGGACAGGGCGGAACGTGCTCTTCTCTCGAGCACAGCCCAAGGCAATGCACACAGCAGCTCCCGGGTACAATACTAGGAATGAGGGACTTGGGCTGGGGGGCTGAGAGACTCGGAGAAAACACGGAGGAGCTGGGCGACATCGTGATCGGCTCCTGGAGCCCCAGCCCCTGCCCTAAGGGAGGAGGGCCCGGTTCTGTCTAGAGACAGAGCCCGGGATCTGCCAACACGCTTCCAATCAGCCTCAGCAACGTCCCCAGAATGCTGGGTGGCTGTGGCGGCTGCTGCGGCTCCGGGCGACACCTGCTGGCCACTCTCGGGATAGCGCTGCATCTTTCCCGGTCCCCCTTATCCCTAGATATATACTTTGGTTTCTGTCCCACCCTCTAGTCACACAAAACCAGAAATGAGTCCTTGGAAGCCTTTCCGGTTTTCCCAGAGTGGGTGTTCTCATTTTACCCTCTGTGATTCATTCTCAAGATCTCACTTCAAACCCTAATATGCAACATCTCCCGGCCCCATGATCTTCGAATCTTGTGTTCATCCGTATCACCTGGGAAACTTGTTAAAAATCCTGATCCCTGCACCCACACTCCCTCAGATTCTCATTCAGCAGATGCTGGTGGGGTCCAAGCATCTGCATCGCTAGCAGACAACCTAGGGGATGAGCTTTGGATCACAGTCTGAGAAACCCCTCCCTGGCTCCCGAGCCACCTCCGGGGAACCCAGTTTGACAGCCACACATCTAGACACTCCCTCCTTATTTTATACAGCATGAACTGAGGCTCAAAGAGGGGACAAGAGCCTAGCCCAAGGTATCCCAGGCTCCAGGGGTCTGAGTCTGGCGCACTGGGCTCCCAGCCCCCATTATTCCTAAGGGAACCCGATTCTGGAAGCTTGCGGTTAGGACTCTCGGCCAAGGCAGGGCTCAGGAGGATCAGTGAGGTGACGCAGATCAGCAGACGTGAAAACAGGAAGGGCTGAGCCTCTTTGGTGCCTGTCTGGGCAACAAGGCCACGTGGGCATCAGGGATTCACGTCCGGCTGTATCCAGCAGCTCGGGGCCATGGCCTTGTCGGTGTGAGTAGAGGCCGGTCCGGTTTAGCAGAGACTTTCAGCCGAACCGGATGAGTCAGGCTCCTTCTCTCCCGTCCACTCCCAGCTGCCTCAGCCCAGAGACTGAGACTCATTCAGTACAAGGCCAGCCCCCTGCCAGAGGGCTTCCGTGCCTGGGGTTCTGGACTTGGGGCACAGAGACTGGGAGATCTCCAGAAGCATCCGCGCCACAGCATCGACGAGGTACAGGGCAGCTGAGAGGGGCCGGGGTGCCCTGGGAGGGGCCCGATGGCCCCTTCCTCCTCCTTCCAGGCTGGCTCTGGCATCTCCTCAGTGCCCCAGGGGACCCAGGGCCGCTTTCTGCTGCTCCCGCTGCTGGAGCTCCTCGTGGGCTCTGTCCAGATCTGCCAGCACCTCCAGAAGGCGGCCAGCTGCCTCTCTCTGCCGGGCCAGGGCTTCAGGACAGGCCCCTGGGAGGGAGACAAGGGGCCACGGGGGCTCAGCCGGGCCAGGGCAGGCTCCCGGAGCCCAGTCCCCGTGGCTTTTCAGGCTCCAGACCGGCCTTGTGCCCCCAAGAACCCACACACTCCGTCCTCCCCACTCACCGCACCTGCTGGTGGACCGGCAAAGGGGGAGTCGGCGGGGGCGGGGGGAGGAAATAGGGGCGTGCTTGACAAGTGGTAGGAGGCGGCCGAGAAGGCAAAGAGAAGGGAGCCCCTTGACCCCTTACCTTCCTTGGCCCCCAAGGCCCTCATTGTGTCCGCCTCCGGGCTTGTATCTATGTTGAAATCCTCCTGGAATTTCATCCTGGAAGGTGCAAGAGAGAAAAGACAAGGTTGGTCCCTGATCCCCAATCTCGTTCTCTACCCCAGAGGTTCTCTGCTGGCTGCAGGAGGCGTTAAGGATTCCCGGTCGTCACCACCACCGCGACCATTGTCGTCATCACAGCAAAGACAGAGTGCAGACGCTACTAGAAGCCCTTCCCGCGTATTAACCACCTCACGATCCCAACAAATGTATCTGCGGTAGGTACTTACTATTGGCTCCATTATACAGTCCACTGAGACACAGAGAGGTCGAGCACTCGCCTAAGGCTGCACAGCATAGTAACTGTTACCCTTTACCGAAAGCTAACTGCGACCAGGCATCGACAAAAAGACTTCACCTGTATTAGCTCATTTGACCCTCGGGACAAGTCCAAGAGGCAGGCGCTGTGACTGTCCCTATCTCCCAGATGAAAAGACACAAGTACAGAGAGGGTAAGCAAGGGGCCCAAGATCACACAGCCAGTAAGCGACTGGCTCAGACTTTGAACCCAGGTCAGGCCAGCTTCAGAACCCGCTGTCTAAGGACTTGGAGCAGATCTCTGCCACTGACCGGTGGTGATGCCAACCAGGGGGGAAAAGGAGCACATCCACGGTCTGGGCCGGGTCCCAGGAGCCCGGGATGGTAAAAGATCCCGGACCCACTTCTGCACTAGGGCCAGCCTGAGGACGCCTCCCCGCCTCGCCTGGGGCCCGCACACCCTGCCCGGCCAGGAAGTCAGCAGATGCACAGGGAAAGAATGAATAAATGAGCCGGGGAGGCCATGGGAGGGTTGGGGGGGGGGGGCGCGGAGCTGGCCTGACTGGTCACCGCGGGGGAAGCGGAATGGGTGGGGGCGCCCACCTGAGCTGGTCCCGCCCCAGGAGCAGCTGCCGGTACACCATCTGGATCTCAGCGTCGGGATCCAGCGGGTCACTCCAGTCCCCCAGGGTGACGGCCGAGTGCGTGCGGCTGCAGCCGGCAGCTGAGGGGAACACGGTGCCGTCAGCACTGCCTCCCGCCGCCCCTCCGGGAGCCCCCCGTGGCAGAGGGTCGCCAAGCACAGACCCTTCTGCGTCTAAAATCACTCTTCCCGCCTCCTACTGCCTTCAAGCCCCACTGCCTCCCCCCCCCCCCCCACCACCGCCCTGGCTCAGCAGAGCAGGAGCGTCCCCTCCCTCCAGCCTCCTCCCGCAGGCCCGGCTCCAGCCACACAGGCCCTTCTCGACCCTTCAGCCCTCCCCGCGCCCCCTCCAGGCCTTTGCTCAGGCGCTTTACTCTGCCTACGACCCTTCCTGGCCCCATCCCAGTCTCTCCACCCTCACTGCTTATCGCCTACTCTTCTCAGGTCATGTCTCAACAGCACCTCCTCCAGGAAGCCCTCCTTGATCTCCAACCCTGCGGCCGGCTCAGAGGCAGTCTCTGGAGCCTCAAAAGCCTCATTTTGGTACTTATAAGACCGTGGGACACTTGTCTGGTTATCCATCGGTCTTCATTGAGAGCGAGCCTCGACCACCGGATCTGGGCCCATAGAAGGTGCTTTACAAAATCTCTCACACGCCATGCGCCCTAGGTGCCGGTCGGCGTTCTAAGTGCTGAGAACACACACTCAGTCCGCACAACAACCCTAGGAGGCAGGCACTGTTCCCCGCTGGAGGAGAGCGAGGCGCACAGAAAGGTTAAGTAACCCGCCGTGGGGGGGGCGGGGCGGGGCACCCGCTGATTGACAGCTGGGGAGGGCGGAACCTGACCCCGCCCCGCCCCCTCACCTGAGCGCTCGGCCTGCAGGCAGCAGGTCCAGCGCGAGCTGCGGAAGGCACCCGGGTGGCAGGCGGCCAGCTTGTCCGGGTTGGGGGCGCTGGCCTTGCGCAGGGCCGACAGCCACTGGTTGAGCTCGTTCACATTCTGCAGGGAGTCGGGGCGGCGGGGGGGGGGGGGGGGGCAGGGGTGGAGGGGGACCCAAGGGACGCCCTCCGTCCGCATCCTTGCGGTGCCTCACCTTGCACTGGAGGTAGGTGGTCCGCAGTGCCCCGGCGCCGTCCTGCGCCATCACCTGCATCACGTGCGGCAGCTGAAAGGCGCCCTCGTCCACGCGCTCCACGGCGCGGATGTGCGACACCGGGATGGAGAAGCGCATCTGGGAGACAGGGCTGTGGCTGCAGGGTGGGCCGGGGTGCGGGGGGCCCAGGGGCAGCTTTCCTTTGGGGGCGTGCATCAGGGAATGGGGACGGGGACGGGGGGGGGGGGGGACACTCAAGCCTGCGTCTCTGTGATCTGCGATCTGTGCGTGTGTGTCCGCGCTCTTGTGCCGCGAGTCCCCCCCCAGCCCTGCCCCATCACTCTCTAGGTAAGCCACCACCTCGCCGGGCATCAGTTCTCATCATCACCAGACGTCAGAGCAACCACCCGCACAGCAGCTGGGGCGTGCCTCCCGCACTCCAGCCTGTCAACTCCCACCAATGTCTGAGGCTGAGCCTGTGTGCAGATGAGGTCACTTGGCCCTCCCCAGGCCACTCAGCCAGTGGAGGCAGAATTGGGAACCAGGCATTTGAACTCTGGAATCCATGCTTTGCGGACAAAGTAGGAAGGATACGCTTGTGCACCCTCTCCAGCGTTCGCCATCATTTATGGGCGTGCGGACAAGAAACGCGTCCCAGCACGGGCTCGAGCTGGTGCTGGACTTGAATGGCAACCCCGTGAGACCAGGGACGTTGGGCCTTGTGTACTGCTGTACTTCAGTGCCTGGAACGCTGTGTGGTATACAGCAGGCGCTCAGTAAATGTTTGATGAGTGGCTGAGTGAACGAATGTCGGCCCGTGTGTGCCTACACGGCCAGGCATGTGCCTCTGGGCGGGAACATCTCAGGGCGGTTAAGCGTGGTCCGTGTCCCATGCGTGTCCACGTCTGATGGGGAGCGTGTGCAGGTACAGGCCTGTGCCTGTCCTGGGCCCACGCTGGCCCAAAGGCGTGAGCAGAGCCTGGCCTGAGAGCTTGACCTGCTAAGTCTTTGCCCCGTTCCTGGGCCTCAGTTTCCCCCTGCCTACAAAGACCCCTCCACTGTGGGCTGGGGCCCCACCTGCCACTCAGGATTCCTGGAGTAGGAGAGAGTCTCCCCGCTGAGCCAGAAGTAACGCTTCTTGAAGGCAAAGCGTGGGGCCAGGCTGGCGGGCTCCTCCTTGCGCTTCAGCAGGTAACCTTCACGAACAATCACCGAGGGGGCCACCAGGGCCCTGGCTGGGCCCCCAGCCTCTGGGAAACGGGGAGGGGGGACAGTGAACCCCTCGTATCCTGCCCTGCCAGTGCGCCCAGGAGCAGGATTCTCTGCTCCCCCCGGGAGGCAGGGGGATGAACGGGAGGAGGGGTGTCACTGAAGGTGGGGCGGGGAGCACAAAGTCGACCTGGAGAAGCCCTCCCCTGGAGCCCCACAGACAGTGGGGCAGGCCGCCAGCGGGGGTGGGGGTGGGGTGGGAGGGTGGGGGGCATGTCTTACGAAGTCAGTCCAGGGAGGGCCCAGGATCTAGCCGCCTGGGGAGCCCAGACACAAGAACCCTGCTATGTCACAACCAGGGCTCCGCCTTCTGACACGGTGCACCTGTGTGACTCACAACCAACTGTCTCTTGACGTGGGCCCCACGTTGTGATACAGACTTATCCCCAACTCTTGTGCCGAAACGTGTCCCATGCCCCATTTCACCCCACATCGAGGCCCAAATCCTTCCAGCTGCTTCTGAAGCCACACACAATCCACCCCCCCCCACCTCTCCTTTGCTCCCCCTCATTCATTCCTCTACATTGGCTCCTCACTGTTGCTCTCTGTCCCCCACCTCAGGGCCTTTGCACATGCGGTTCCCAGCCTGGAATACTCTTCCCGGGGATCTTCATGGCTTGCCCTCGGTCTTCCTTCGGGTCTTTGCTCTAATAGTACCCTAGTGGGGCCACTTCTGGTCATCCTACCTAAAAGTTCACCCGCCACCCCCCACCCCAACATTTCCTCCCCTCCTTTGTCTTCTCTACTTACTCCCCCACACACTATGTTATTTGCTAACTCAAATTCTGTGGTCCCCGTTAGAATAAAACTTCCACGAGAGCAAGAATCTCTCGTCTCGTTCACTGCCGTTTCCCCAGCACCTGGAACGGCGTCCAGTAAGCACTTAACAGATATTTTTTGGTTGCGCGACACCACGTGATGGTATCCACCCACCACACTGGCCGCGGTGGCCTGGAGGACGGGGCCTGAGCTCTGTTCATCTCTGGGACCTGGCACAGAATGGGCCAGGGAGTGTTAGCTGACTGACGAGCTGACCCACCGGTCCGCAGTCTCAGTGCCAGGGCGGGCAGGGGTGGAGCAAGGGCGGGTCCCAAGGGCCAAGTAGAGTGACAGGCCAGATGTGGCAGAAACACAGGGACTCACCCTCCCCGTCCACATCCACCAGCTGGTCCAGGAAGTCTCTCACACGTGAGATGCTCTGCAGCAGGAAGGGGTGCAGGGGGGCCATCCATAATTCCTTGCCCTGGCCCAGCTGCTGGCCCAGGTTTCCGATGCTCTGCACAGCCTGGCACAAAGAAGCAGGGGACGCCAGGGCGCCAAGGTCACTTCAGGGGGAAGGGCCTTCCGTGGCCCCAGAACAGAGCGCCCAAGCCCTAACTCCCAGATCAGTGCTCAGTGAAAGGAGACTCATGGCAGCACCTGCTTTGAGTCATATCTACCCCTCCCTGGGGACAGATACGCACGCCCAGCACCCTTACACTGTTCCGTCCGGAGCTCAGTTCCCCTGCCCAGGACCGCCTGACCCCTATCATGCACACTTTGGAGCCCATCAGAACCTCAAAATCTGGGGCTCCTGGCTCGCTCAGTCAGGAAAGCGTGAGATCAAGCCCTGCATCAGGCTCTGCACGGGGCGTGGAGACTGTTTGAGATTCTCTCTCTCCCTTTCCCTTTGCCCCTCCCCCACTCGTGCTTTCTCCCTCTCTCTCTAAGGAAAAAAAAAAAAAGGGCACGACTCTTCATCTTGGGGTTGTGAGTTCGAGCCCCCTGTTGGCTGTGGAGATTGCTTAAATGAATAAGAGCTTTCAAAAAACCCAAAAAGGAAAAGAACTTGAAAACATGGCCACTTCGCAAATGATGGCCTAATTCATACTAAGGTGCATAGGACGACTAGCCTGCTTCCCACTTTCCTCCTGAAAGGGCAGAATTTTCGTTTCAAGAGAAGAAGTTGGATAATGGAATGAACGCCTTCACACTCAGGATGGAAGGCTAATGGGTGTTTCAGACAGGTTTCTCTGGGTCTCAAACCATTTCAGCAGGTTTGGCCTTCCGGCTCCGTTCCTGTGCTTTTCCCTGGCTAAGAACACCCAGGCTGTGGGACTCCCTTTCCGGCACCTTGGCAAGAAGTAGCAGGGAGCGGCTGGTCTGGGGATCCGCATGCTGGTCCCGGAGGTCAAACAGCTTCGGGGTAAGGATAGCAGGGGCGAAGAATCGCAGGAAGAGAAAGCCACTTATGGCCAGGTACTTCGCATCCTGCCAAGAGGAGCCGCAGGTGACAAGAGCCCCCCGAAACCCACATCCCAGATGGGGAAACTGAGGCAAGGGAAAGTGGGACGGGAGATGGGCCGGGAGATCACACTGGTCCGCCAAGACGGCCTTTTCTCTCTGGACCTCAGCTTCCTCCCTTGGAAAGCAGAGGAACAATACCCATCCTCCACTGCAAGCACCGTGCTAAGGGCCCAGCCCCGTGAAGGAAGCACCCTCATCATTCCCCGCTCACGGATGAGGAAGCAGACGTTCAGAGACTCCAAGTGACTTGCCCAAGGCCACACAGCTGGGAGTGGCAGGGCCGAGATTTGAACCCAGGCAGGATCTGAACACACAGCTCTCCATCACGCCCTCCGGCATTCGACCCCCGGTACTGTGCCGAGTGTCAGGACTAATCCCAACGACCGACAGTCCTAGGGGGTAGGTGCAATATATTATCCCCATTTCCTGGATGAGGAAGCGGAGGCTCAGGAGAGAACCCGGTCTGGCTGGGCCCTCTGTGTGAGTCCCGGGCCTGGCCCACCCGTAGACAAGGCTGGTTCCTCCAGCTGGTTCCCCAGCGGAGGGAAAGCAGACAGAGGGTGTGCCTTTATCCTGGGTGCCTCTGGCTCTCCCCAGATCACCCCCCACCCACCTTTCACACTTGCCCAGCTGTATTTAGCCCAAAAATGTGCTCCGGTATTTATTTAGGGGTTGTATTCACACATGAGACAATACTCTCCCCGTCTCCTCTGCGCTGACGGTGAACCCTGCCTAAAGCTGGATGTCTGACACTGCCCGGAAGGGGGGGTCTCTGCCCCCAGCCCCGCTCCTCTGGACCCCTGAGCTGCCCCCGAGGCCACCACCCCTTCAACTGCCATACTCCAGGGTAAGTTTAGTCTTCGAGATCAGCTCTTTGACTTCCTCCTTTCTGAAGGTGGAACGGGTGTCAGGGTGGCAGAGAAAGGGGTTCCCCTGGGTTTCCATGACCCCATCCACCCTCATGGGCCTGAGGAAGTCCCTGCTCCGTGCCATGGCCTCCGCCCCTCCGTGGGAGCTAAGGACCGGGGGACACTTGGGTGTCACCGATACTGGGTTCCCCACAAGGGCCAGGCTGTCTGGCCTCCCGCTCCCCTTCCCTCCCCCCGTCACAGCTCTGTCCCACTTAGCACCTCCAGTCCAGGCGACAGCCTGGCAAAGTGGGGCGTAAATCAAGCGACGTCCCAGTTTGGAGGCCGAGAGCTCACTCCTCAGTGGAGGCCGAGAGGAGAAGGGAGGGACCCCCGCTGGGAGACCAGAGGCCTAACTTTGAGTCCACCACCCTTGGCCAAGGCTCTTTAACCTCTCTGGGCCTCAGCTTCCCCATCTGTAAGCAGAGAGTGGGGAGAAGTATGGCTTAATCAAGGGCTCTTAACTCAAGCTCTAGGGACTGGGTTACATCTCCAACATTTAGCAGGTCTTAGATTATTCGGCAGAGTGAACCCCCCGCCCCGCCCACATTTCCGGTACATCAGCGCTCCATTAAGAGCTGGCCTGATTTGATGTCATTTGTAAGTGAGGCCAACAGCCACCTTGGGAGGCACGCTGACCATTAAACCAGGGGAGCTCAAACTGGTAACCCACAGGCCAGGCCAGCTGCCAACGCGTAATAACTGGCTCAAAGTTTTGCCATGTTGTTCTTGTTTTTAGGTGAACTGGAGTCAACATTTTATTTTTTGGGGGGGATATCTTTTTATTTAATTTTTTTTAACGTTTATTTATTTTTGAGACAGGGAGAGACAGAGCATGAACTGGGGAGGGTCAGAGAGAGGGAGACAGAGAATCCGAAACAGGCTCCAGGCTCCGAGCTGTCAGCACAGAGCCCGACGCGGGGCTCGAACTCACGGACCGCGAGATCATGACCTGAGCCGAAGTCAGACGCTTAGCTGGCTGAGCCACCCAGGCGCCCCGGAGTCAACGTTCTAAAAATGAGCGACCTCACATAAAATCCAGAATGTTGGCTTTAGAAGATAACCCCTGGGGCGCCTGGGTGGCTCAGTCGGTTGAGCGCTCACTTTGGCTCAGGTCACGATCCCACGATCCAGGGGTTCGAGCCCCACATTGGGCTCTGTGCTGACAGCTCGGAGCCTGGAGCCTGCTTTGGATCCTGGGCCTCCCTCTCTCTCTCTGCCCCTCCCCTGCTCGTGTTCTGTCTCTCTCTGTCTCAAAAATAAGATAGACATTTAAAAAAAAAAAAGAAAAAAGGAAAGAAAGCAAACTCTGAAGAGCTGGCCATGCCGGGTCCCCATTCCCGCCTGGCAATAAGGGATTGAATTCTGCAGCTGCCCCCTTAAGACAAGCTGTGGGGGCTCCAGTTTGCCACAGTCCCTACGACGCCCTAGTGCCTGCCCCACACCTTGACTGCTTCATTCATTGATCTCACCTTCCTGAGGCCTGCAGCGCTCGCAACTTTTATATTAACATTGGCAAAGCAGTAACACACGCAGGGATTTATCTCTAGACCACTTGGGGCGTCTGCTACGAAGCACCTACTGTGTGCCGACATGCCCTCTCTCTCTCTCTCTGACAGCTGAAGTTAAGAAGCACTTACTTTGTGCCAGATTCTATTATTTGGTGGCTTGGAGCAGATTCGGCAGCCAGATGCCTAGATGGGTGTCTATCCCAGCAACACCCCTTCCTAGCCGTTTGACTTAATCTCTCTGGGCCTCTGTTTCCTCCTCTGTAAAATGGGAGAATACTGGTACTCACCCCATAGGGTGGAGGGGAAGGTGAGGTAAGGTAATGCGAGAGGAAGAGGAGGTCCCACCCAGGGTAAGGACTAGATACAGCATTCGCTGCTGCCATTATTATTATTATTATTATTATTATCATCATTATCATTTTCATTATTACTGCCCCTGGATCCCAGACCCACAGACCCAGATTGTGTCCCCCCTCTGCCCCGCCTCTCTGTACGCCCCTGGACAAGCTACTGCCCCTCGCCAGCCTCAGTCTCCCCATCTGCTCCTTGGGAACGTGTGGCCCACCTCGTGCTCCGCCTGGGGGAAGCGCTTTTGCACGCGCTGGTGCAGCTGCTTGAAGGCGAGGCGCATGGCAGGCGGGCAGCGCCCCACAGAGCCCACAATGGCATCCACGATGGGCCCCAGGTAGCCCGTCAGCAGCCCCAGGCTGGCCTCCCTCACATGCTCCTCGGAGGGTGCGCCCTTGAAGGAGATTCTCCTGGGGAAACAGAGTGGCCGTGCCTCAGAGCCCAGCATCTGTCCACTCAAAACCCTCCGCCAGCCCCCACCGAGCTCAGAGCACCCTCCTTCCCCTCCCACCCCCATAGCCTCCCCTCCCACCATTCGCACCCGCGTTCTTGTCCTGCCTCGGAGCCTTTGTACCTGCTGTTCCCTCTGCCTGGGACACTCTTGTGCACACGTTTAGCTTCAGCGTGCCCGCCTCAAAGAGGCCATCCCTTCCCCGTCACACGTCATCACACACCCCGGTTCGGTGCCTTGTCAGCGTGGACATGCCGGACACACGCTCCCACCTCAGGGCCTTTGCACGTGCTGTTCCCCTTGCCCGGGATACTCCCCCTCCGGATCTGTGCACGCCTCCCTCCCTCACCTCCTGCCAGTCTTTGCTGAAATGTCCCCGTCTCTGTGAGGCTTTCCCTGTGACCACCCTAGGGAATATTGCAAGCCTCTCCCCTGCTCCCGGCACTTCCCACGACACTCCCCTGCTCTGTCTTCCTCCATTCCACCGATCACCTTCAATAACCTTCTTTAGTTGATTATGCACCTCCCCCTAGAAGACGGACTTGCATCCACTTCTTCCCCGCGGGGCATCAGCGTTCAGCCAGGGTCTGGCGCCTAGTAGGTTCTCGGCAGCTGTTTTTGCCGAGGGGGTGATGGGACAGCACTTATCCCCTTCCTTCTCGTCCCCACACAGGTGTAGGGTCCGTCTCGCCCACCTCAGAGCCGGGATCTGAACCCGGGGGCTCAGCTTCGGAGGCCCGCCCGCGACCACTACCCCTTCCAGCCGGAGGAGCTCGGTGCTCACGGCTGAGGCTCTCGGCCCGAATGCAGGGCTCCCCAGCGGCCGGGCCAGAGAGAGGGGGAGGCGGTCGGCACAGACCCAGGCGGACAAGGGGGCTGTCAGAGGGTCGCGGTTCACCCCTCGGGCTTCGCTCACCTGGTGCGACCCAGGTCTATCTTGCAAGGGTCCAGCTCGATGTATCTCTTCTCCTCAAAGACGCGGTTAATCACGGGCTTCAAGACCTCGTGCAGGTAAGGCATGCCCACGAGCTGAGGGCAGGGGGCACCGCGTGGGGCAGGGGCTGAGGATGAGGCTAAGCCGTGCCCATGAGCCAGGGGCGGGGGGCAGCACACGGGGAGAGGCTCAGAGGGAGACTGAGTCAGGCCCAAGAGCGCAGGTGGGGGGCGCTCTCCAGGTGTGACTCAGGGCAGGGCCAGGCACCAGCCACCAGCACCCCAGCTCGGCCGACCCAGCTCCGGGGTCCCAGGAAGCACTGGAAAAGGAGTCCCCTGGAAGGAGCCGCCTCTGGGCCCCGCCTGGCCTCTTGCTCACCTTCATAAACTGTTCCATTGACTTGGATGCCAGGGAGTTGGAGCGGAAGAGGGTGTTGGGGTCGGCTGGGAGGGCAGAGGGAAGTGTCCGCTGGGATCGGGGGCTGGATCCACCCCACCCCGCCCACCCAAGGAGGGAGTCATGATGTTCCCGCCTCAGGAACCAAGGAGAGCTGTAATATCAACTCCATGCACAGTAGAGGGGCCCAGAGTGGTTAGATGAGCTGCCTAAGGTCACACAGCTCAAGAGCGGCAAAACCGGGGCCCGAAGCAGGGACTGCGTCCCACTGGCTGGCGGTGCACAGTGTAGGGACCCCCCCCCATCCACACACATAGGAGCCCCTGACCTTGGCCTGAGGCTCCCCGTCTCTCCCTCAGAGACCTTGTGCCGGCCCCTTCCTTGAGGCGTGACATCTGGGGCTCATGCAGGCAACTCACTGGTCCGGGTCACCTCGCGCCGAGTGAGATAGTCCAGAAAGGGCCCGGCCAGGCCCTGGCCAAGAAAGAGCTTCACCAGGTTGGTGGCAAGGTCCTGGCGGCAGTCCCCTGAGGTCAGCTCCTCCAGCACGGCCAGGGGACTAGCGGCATCCTCCTGGGCAGGGACAGGAGGCAGGAGAGGTGGCCCAGGGCCCCGAGGGCAAAAGAGCCCAGGTAGGGATCTCTGAAGCAGGGAGAGGCCTTGGTGCCAGGCCCCGGGGGGACTGAGGCACCCACCTCTGCCGGGCCCCGCACAGCCTCCGTGAGCAGCTCCGTGAGTGGCCGGTAGTTGTGGGAGGGCAGGATGCGGTCCTCGATGAGGCGCACCTTCAGCCGCAGGGCACCCAGCTGCCCCCTGACCGGGGTCAGGCCACAGGGGTAAGAGCATCGGGCGGGTGTGCACAGGGGCAGATGGCCAGGATAGGCAGGGGTGAACACAGATATAAGGAGCATGGACGTTAGCCAAACAAGGCAGATGTGGGCAGGTGCGAACCGATACTGACACGGAGAGACAGGAAGGGACGGGTACAGTCACGGGGCACCTGGTGGCTCAGTGGGTTGAGCACCTGACCCTTGCGTTCGGCTCAGGTCATGAGCTCATGGGTTCGTGAGTTTGGACCAGCCCCACCCCCGTTTCAGGCTCTGCGCTGACCAGCCTGCTTGGGACTCTCCCTCTCCCCCTGCCCCTCCTCCCCCCGCCTCCCCACCTCAAAATAAATAAATACACTTAAAAATTTTTTAAATAAATGCAAATAAAAACAGTGTGGCCAGTCCACAGTGTACAAGAACAGAAGATGTGGACAGGTGTGGAGGGACCCAGGGCTCCGAGCGCACATCGACTGGTGGGGACTGACACGTTCACACGCAAACACGTGGATGGGTATACGGTGAACCCATCTGCACATACGAAACACGCATTGCGAGACAGACACTTGTTAAATGGGTGAACGAAGGGACGTGGTGACGGCTTGTGGGCTGACCGGGGCACCCGTGAGGACGTGCCCGCAAGCTGAAGACAGCACTCAACACGAGCTCAGCCTACATTTACCCAGAATCCTCCTCGGCTCTGGGGAAGGGCAGGAGACGGAACCAGCCACGGGGAGGGTTCTGCTGCAGGACCGGTGGGGGAAACTCCACCTGCAGGGGGGACACACAGACCTTCAGCTGAGCCCTGCCCACCGAGGTCCAGGCCCCACCCAGCCCTAGAAGGGCTCGGGCTGCCCACCCAAGGAGGGGAGGCACAGCCTGGCAGGGGCCACCTCCTCTCCCCCACCATACCCTATCAGCGCAACGGCAGCCACACTCCCTCCCCCAGTCCCAAATCATCAGCTCCTGCCAGGACCCTGAGGGCTTCCACGGGACACTTAATTTACAGTTGGGGAAACTGAGGCTTGGAGAGACGGGGCGACTCGCCCGAGGTCACACAGCTGCCGGAGGCAACATATCTGGACAGAGAGCCTTTTCCACTCTGTCTGGGGACACAAATCACATCTGCCAAGAGGCTTAAAGACAGCCCGGGAGGCCCCCCGAGCCCCACCCCCTCTCTCTTAAAATATTATAAAGATATAATTTGCATCCCATACAAGTTGTCGGTCCACTCACGGAGCTGTGCAACCATCGCCACTAATTTCAGAACATTTTCTATCAGCCACCCCCCCCACCCCCCGCAAAGCCTGTACCCATAGGCTTAGATGTCCCTCCCCAGCTCCCACCCCAGCCCCGGCTCCGTAACCACAAAGACTTTCTGTCTTTCCACCGTCTCCTCCTCCGGACAGCTCACAGAAATGAAATCATAGAATTCTGTGGGTTTATTGGCCTGGCTTCTTCCCCTTAGCATGTTTTCAAGATTCATCCACGAGGTCGCAGGGGCCAGTGTGCCGTTCCTTTTTATGGCTGAGCCCTAGTCCCTCGTAAGATACACCACGTTGGATTTATTCATTCACCTGGGGATGGACATTTGGGTTTTGCTTCCACACTTGGTTGTCATTAGCAAGCTTTTGTGTGGACAAATGCGTGCATTGCCCTTTGGCGCGTACCTAGAAGTGGAACCGCCGGGGCATGTGACAACTGTCTTTAACCGTTTGAGGAACGGCCAGACTCTTTTCCAAAGCAGCTGCACCGTTGACATTCCCCCCTCCAAGGCTGTGTGCAACCAAGCCTCCCTGTAACTAGCTCTAATCTCGTCTCCTTTGAAAAACTGTCAGCCCGGACCGTATCCGCACTACCACCGAGAGGCAGGGACAACCACGCTCATTTTACAGATGCGCAAACTGAGGCTCCAAGAGAAAGACCTTGAGCCCAGGGCCTCCAGGGGTAGGGGTTAAGGGCTGAGAGTGTGGTGTCAGAGAAACCTGAACTCAGGTCCTGGCTCTGCCACTTCTTAGTCATATGGCCTGGGGAAAGCCACTCAACTTCTCTGAATGACCCTCGGTTTCCCCATCTATGAAATGGAGACAAGAGTCCCCACCTCATAGGGTGGCCGCTACCGGTACAGAAATTAGATTATGCTGGGGAAGTACTTACTTAGCACGCAGTCATCCTGGGTACTCTCACCCTAGAATGAGAATCTGGGCCTGCCCCGTGACCTTGGGCAGGTTCTTGCCCCTCGGAGAGCCTCAGTCTCCTCACCTGTACGATGGGGAGCTGGGACTCCACCGCTCGGGCCTGGCCAAGGAGCCGGTCGAGACAGCTTTCACATCTATCCTTCCAGATCCCAGAATGCGCAGCCCCTTCCCCTCCCCTTCCGTCTTGGAGGCAGAGGGAAGCCAGGGTGTCGGGGGGTGGGGGGGGGTGCTGCTTACCATGCCCAAGAAGTCGTTCTTGCCCACCATGTCCCAGTCCCAGAGCTCCACCCGCAGCGGGGCCGGGGCACCTGGCATCTCCTGAAGTTCCAGCACCTCATCCCAGTGTGGGAAGCGGGTCTTCTTAATGGTCTGGGGGAGGGGGAGTGAGGGAGGGCTGAGGAGGGCCCATCTTGAGGCCCGCCCCTCCCTGGACCCCCACCACCACTCACTGAAGTCTCCAAGCTCTGACTGCCCCAGAACACACGTGCAAACGGGTCAGAGGTGCCGGTGATATCTCGGGGGGCCAGGTCCCTGGAGACAAATGAGGAAAGGGGTGAGGGCCGCAGGACCCTCAAGGACAAACACCCAGGCTGGACCTTGGAAAAGGGGCTCAGGGTAGACCATTCAAATGCCTCTGGCTTGCAAGGCGATGAACTGCTCCCTTGTAGGGACCCAGCAAGGAACACCCCCCATCCTGCCCTTCCAAACCCTTCTGTTGACCAGGGCTACCCTGCGCCCCTATTTTCCAGATGAGGAAATGGAGGCACCAAAAGGCCGCGTCCTGAACCACAAAGCCCAGGAGGTGAAAACGTCATGGGAAGTGGGAAGGGAGCCTCAGTTTCCCTGGAGCCCCTGGATAGGAGACTGGATGCCAGGGTTCAAAGCCTGGCTCCGCCATTCATTGGCTGGGTGACACTGAGAAAAGTCACTTCACCTCCCTGAACCTCACAGTCTCTTCATCTAGAAAATGGAAATAATGATAGACCAACCTCAGAGGGCCAAGGTCTAAATGACCTGAGTGTATAAAAGGCTTCGCATAGCAGCTGGCAGGACGTGAGTGCTCAGCCCATTCATTCATTCACTCACTCATTCATTCATTCATTCATTCAACAAAGATTCATACCCACGCCTTGCCTAGGACCCAAGAAAAGGCATGGGGCAAGGATCTCCAGGCTCTGGTTGCCATGACAACCCCAAAGTCTCACCTCCGTCAGCTGCCCCAACCCCTCCTTCCTGAGGTCCCCCAAATCCAGTGACAGCCCCCACCAGGGGCTGCTTGTTTCTTCCTGCTGCTCCTTTCCCACCCCTGCTTGGCATCCAGAGCCTTCCTTGGTCTCCTAGGAGCCGGCCCAGTTGCTAAGCGACAGCAATCAGTCCCTCTCCTGCTCGCAAGGATCCTGCACAGCCTTGTGGCTGGGGAGGAGGCCACTAGCACAAAGCAGATGAGGAGCCCCTGTCCCATGTCCAGCCCTCTTGTCTGTCCTCTGCCACCCTGGTACTCCATCCAGACCCAGGGAGCCCCAGCTGGAGACAGAAATCTGGAGGTGGTGGGAGAGGCACAGAGAGGGCAAGAAGAGGCTTCAAGGTCACACAGCAAACTAGAAATAGAGATCGTCCCCGACCTGAGCGAGGAGCGGTCCAAGAGGGAGGGTTGTGGGAATAAGATATGAAAACAAGGCAGAAAGGCAAGATGGGAGATGAGAGGGGAAAGGGGATGGTAGCATTTAAGGAAGCAAATGATGGGGGAGCTGAGGGAGAGAGAAGGGACTGCAGGGTGACAAACAGGCAGGAGGGAGGATGGCCATCCCATGAGCTGGTGCCCCCGGACAGTCATCTGTGGGTTTCGCCGGTCCCACATCTGCCTTCTGTCTCCTGTTTCTTTGCGACAGGACCTCCCCTCTCTCGCTCCCAGCTCACATCAGTTAGGTAGGCTGACCTCTCCACTCCAGGGATGGGTGCGGGACTCAGGCGTGACCAGTCAGAGTCCATGCCCTTGGTTCAGAGATAGGTACGTGCCCCAGATTTGGGCCAATAAAAATCAGTCCCAGGACATCGGCTGGAAATGACAGGAGAAAGTCAGTTGGACCTGCCAAACTGGTAGGAGGCCCTGGGACTTGCTGGCATCATCTTTGCTCGCCCACACCTGGAGAGAGACTCCCTGAGAACGAAGCTAACACAAAAGATAGCCGAGAAATCGCTGTCTGTAGATTCCTGTTGTCACTGTTTGAGCACCTGGATCCAGACACGCCTGAAGCCGCACGTCATTAATACAAACCAACCTGCTTAAGCTGGTATGAATTGGGTATGTATCACTTACAATCCTATTAACGTACACCCTGGCCAGCCTGAGTACCTGGCCTTTGGTTGCTAGTCGCTGGAGACCCAGCAAGGATTTTGCTTGTGCTCTGACCCCAGGAACTTGCCAACCTGGCGACCCTGGGGCTGTCTGCCCACAAGGGATCCTGGTCGTGAGCCCAGAAGTACCCCAGGAGTGAGGTGGTCTCAAAAGCCAAGACGGCTGGGGGGAATCTCCGGCAAATTCTTGCTCACTCTCAGACCAGTCCCACCCCATCCCCTATCACGACCGTACCTGGCCTGAAGCACGTGACATCGAAGACAACGGCCCCGCGCATTCTCCAGCATCTGCACATCCAAGCAGACCTCACCCTGCACCTCTGCGTCCGGGTCCACACGGCTCAGGTTGATCCAGCTGTCAATTCCTGGAGGGCACAGGCGCTAACATTTATTAACCACCTGCCAGGTTCTGACACTGTATTAACTTAAAAATTCAATTAACATGAAACATAGGGGCGCCTGGGTGGCTCAGTCGGTTAAGCGTCCGACTTTGGCTCAGGTCATGATCTCGCGGTTCATGAGTTCGAGCCCCACACTGGGCTCTGTGCTGACGGCTCGGAGCCTAGAGCCTGCTTTGCATTCTGTGTCTCCCTCTCTCTCTCTCTGTTGCTCCCCATCTTGCTCTCTGTCTCTGTCTCTCAAAAAAAAAACATTAAAAAAAACCTCATGAAATATATATTAAGCCATAGGCTTCTCATGTTCGCCTTCTGATGTAGGTACTGTAATTATCCACACTTCCAGAGAAGGAAAGTGAGGCACAGTGAACGAAGAGCTTTGCCCATGATCTCACAACTGGTAAGGGACAGAGCTAGGATTTGAATGCGAACAGTAAAGTTCAATGCCATTAACCATGTACTATCACACTCTTCACCCTGGTATACGAAAGCCTCCGTCATTTAATCCCAACATACTCTCCCCTCCAAAAACTCTTGGGCATTCCTACCTCTCAGCCCCCGTCCAGGCGACTCCCTGCCGGAATCAGTCAAGTCAGTTTCAACCTCCCTCCCTGTCTGTCTTCTCTCTCAACGCTTTGAAGAGATCAGCTACCGACTTCTACCTTCCCTTGTAGTTATTGGGAAGTCATTTCAGCCTGACAACTGATCTTGTGTAAATGGGCTACCTTTTCTCTTTAGTTTTTTTTTTTTTTTTTAATTTTTTTTTCAACGTTTATTTATTTTTGGGACGGAGAGAGACAGAGCATGAACGGGGGAGGGGCAGAGAGAGAGGGAGACACAGAATCGGAAACAGGCTCCAGGCTCTGAGCCATCAGCCCAGAGCCCGACGCGGGGCTCAAACTCACGGACCGTGAGATCGTGACCTGGCTGAAGTCGGACGCTTAACCGACTGCGCCACCCAGGCGCCCCGTCATAGGACTTCTTAAAATGGACGTCAGACCTTGTCCACAATTTTCTAGGTCTCTAAGCTTCTCTTTTATATTTTCCTTCTTGTTTCCCTGGGCTAACGTCTCAATCATTTCTTCAGATCTCTCTTCCAGCTCACTAATTCTCTCTTCAGCTCTGGCTCTGTTGTTGAACTCGGCCGCTCAGTTTTAAATTTCAATGACTACTCCTTATCTCCAAAACTTTGATCTAGTTCTTTTCCAATCAATTTTTTTAAATGTTTATTTTATTTATTTTGAGAGAGAGAGCACAAGCAGGCAAGGGGCAGAGAGAGAGAGAGAGAGAATGAGAATCCCAAGCAGGCTCTGCAGAAGCAGCACAGAGCCCAACGTGGGGCTCAATCTCACAAACAGCGAGATCGTGACCTGAGCCAAAATCAAAAGCCAGACACTCAACCGACTGAGCCACCCAGGTGTCCCTATCTTTTTAATGGATTGCTTTCATTTATTATGATTATTGCTGGCCCTTTCTGGTGATTGCCTTTTTTATTTATTTAAATATTTTATTCCTCTTCATTGTTGCTATTGTGTTTTTATTTTATTTTAGAGTGAAAGAGAGAGAGAGCACAAGTGGGGGAGAAGGACAGAGGGAGAGAGAGAGAGAGAGAGAGAGAGAGAGACCCAAGCAAGCTCCACACTCAGCTTGGAGCTTAACACAGGACTCAATCCCACAACCCTGGGATCATGACCTGAGCAGAAATCCAGAGTTGGACATTCAACCAGCCGAGGCACCCAGGTGTCCCTAAATATCTTATTCCTTTAAACATTCTGTGTATCCTAATTGCAAAATCTAAAGCCCTTGTGGGTTCAAATCTGGTAGTTACTGTTTCTGCTGACACTTGCTCATGGTGGCCCACTGCCTTGTGTGTGTGGTGACCTCTGACTGCAAAGTCATGTCTGTCTGAGCTCACTCTGGGACACTTTAAGGGCCTCAATCAAATGGGAACATTTCAGGGTCGGTCACATCTGCCGCATCCCTGGTCCAAGATTCAGCCTCTCTGTTGACTCTAGATGTGATGCCGACATTCACTTCCAGAGAAATCTTTCCTTACCACCTCCCTGCTTGTTGTTCCCCACTCCCTGTCAGGTTTTAGCTCCTGGTTGGGGTGAGGGGGAGAGTGGAGAATAGTGAGACTTTTTCCTTCTTTCAGGACGTCCCTATTATGCTGCAGGAGGATCCAGTGCCCCATGCTGCTAGAAATAAAAGTTCCACTGCACCTCTCTCTATCTTCACGCTACCCCCAAATCCAGGATGCCATCAACTTCCTCTCGCTGGAGGACCGCAACAGACTCCTAATTGATCTCCCACATGTACTCCTGTCCCACTGGGATCCAATATCCCCAAAGCAGCACAGAGATCTTGTGAAAATGTATCTAATCTCTCCCGTCACTCCACCCTCTGATAATATGGCTCCAGTCTCTTCACTGTCTTGCTCAAGGACCATCCGTGGCTCCCCAGTGCCCCCAGAAGAAAGTCTAGACTCTGGCCTGGCACCTTGAGCCCCCTCCAATCAAGACCCACCAAGTACTCCATCTGGCCCGGCCCCAGGAGAGAATCTATAGACACACCTTAGTGCCTTTGCCAAAGCACCTTTAAGAAATAACTCATTCCCGGGGTGCCTGGGTGGCTCAGTCGGTTAAATGTCTGACTTCGGCTCAGGTCGTGATCTCACAGTTCATGGGTTCCAGCCCCGTGTGGGGCTCTGTGCTGACAGCTGGGAGTCTGCTTCGGATTCTGTGTCTCCCTCTCTCTCTGCTCCCCCCCCCCCACTCGTGCTCTGTCTCTCTCTCGAAAATAAATAAACATTAAAAACAAGAAATAACTCATTCCCCTTCATCCAGGAAAGCTTCCTTGACTACACTAGCCTTCACTGCCCTCTTATCCTCATCCACGGTCAAGCCGGTGATATTCCACATGCCTCCACCCCTACATTTCTGTCCTGTTTAAAAAAAATTTTGTCCTGTTTAAAAAGCACCCACATGCAGACGCATGGCCAGTTTCCCTTGCTTTTCTTGCCCCTTGTTCTGTGTGAATGTGTTTTGTGTTTCTATCTGGCCCATAAGCTCCTTGAAGCTTGGCCTCGTACTTCAATCATCTAATGCCACCCTCTTGGGTGGATGTTTGGGGCACAGTGGGTACAACGCAGACAGGTTGAAAACACAGACTTTGGAAGCAGGCACAGCCTGAACTCAACTCCCACCGCTGCAACTTCTAGGAGGGGCAAGGGCCCTCCTCACCTCTCCAAACCTAATTTCCCAGCAGCCATATATTCGAGATCATTCTAGTGCACACTTCACTTGGCATTGTGAGGACTAAATACAATGTTCTTAGCATCATGCCTGGCACATAGTATACCCTCAATTAATAGGAGCCATGATTATGATGATTAGCACATAGGTTTTCAACGAATCCCCACTGATGAAAAAAAGACATTATTCAATTATTGATATTGAGACAATTAGTAGTCGCCTAGATAAAAAGTAATAAAGCTCAATCCCTCTCCATACCTTGAATCTGGGTAAGTTCCAAATAGATCAAAGACTTGAATGTAAAAAAGGAAAACAAATTGCTGCTAGAAGGGATCGTGTAAAAAATATGATCTAACCTTAGATTTGGGAAGGCCTTTTTAGGGGTCACAGAAAATCAAGGGCCAAAAAAAAAAAAAAAGACGAAGTTAACTAGAGAAAAAGAAACACATTTTATAGCTAGATAGAAATGATAAGCAAAAAGATAAGTGACAAAGGGAGAAACACATGTTTGCAGCTACTATGGCAAAGAGTTAAATTTGCCTCATATGTAAAGAGCTCCTACACATCAATAAGAAAAACCAAACAACCCAGTGTGGGGCAGGGGGGACATGCACATACAATATAAATAAATGACAAACAAAAAAGGAAATAAAGGGACTCTTAAATATGTAAAGAGGCTTTCAGTCTCAACCATAGAGAACTACAAAATAACCTACATGAAGAGGAAATTTTTTCACCTATCAGATACAAGACCAGAAGTTTGGTAATCGTTGGCAAAGGTACAGGGTGGGCAACTTGTTACCTCCTCCACAGAAGGTAACTTAGCAATAACTCTCAGATGTGCTCATGGGGGGACTCTAGGACGCAGCAAATGCACTTCTAGGAATTTATCAGACTGATTGATACAACTCGCGCGTGGGTGAAGTCGTCTTTGTACAAGGCTGCTGGTTGCGGCATCGTTTGAACTAGGGAGAGATACTGAACAACCCAAGTGCCAACCAACAAGGCACCAGCCAAAGAAATGATGGTGCGTCCACACAACAGAGTGCCGTGAAGTCAAAGACCAAAGAATGTGGAAGCTCTTAGGGCACCGATACGGAAAGCTCTCCCAGGTACGTGGTGAATGAAAGGCAAAATACGGTACAGTGAAAATAACAGGACGCCACTCCTGTGAGCAGAGAACAAAATACACACAGTGCGGGCTCAGGAGCCCAAGACTGGCCAATGTCGGTTCAAATCCTGGACGTCCCACTGAATAACTCTGTGATCCTGGGCAAGCCCCATAACTAATCCCCTGTGCCTCAGTATGTCCACCTACGGAGTGGGCACAAGAAGAGTACCTACCTCACGGGGTTATTGCAATAATTAAATGAGCTGATTCCTGTAAGAGCGCTGGGAAAGTGTTCAGCACACAGCACTCAATAAATAAACTAAATTAAATTAAAAAAAAAAATCATCAACTGAGATAACTTTCCACCGAAGGCCCCGTGCCTCCCTGCGCCTCTGGCTACGCGCTTGCAAATACCCCCCCACCCCCGCCCCGCCAAGGCACGACCACCCCTAGGCCCTCCGCCCGGCTGAAGCCCGCTGCCCTCGCCCACCTCGGGGGTCAGCCGCAATCGCGTCCCTGCTCAGCGAGATCTTGCCGATGACGTCATCATGCCTGTGGCGAGGTAGGCAAGGTGAGGGTCCGCGTCATCAGGTCGCGGGCCCAGGCATCGAGGGCTGGCGGGTGGGTACGTTGCTTCGGGGCAGCCCACCCTCCCTCCGGTACCCGAGCCGTGGTCCCCAGCACACACACCCCACCGTGTCCTCGTCCAGCACGTAGAAGGCCAGATGGTGGAAATCCAGGGGCAGGTGGATGGTGTATTCCTCTCCCCAGAAGGGGCTCAGGCTCCTCCACACGGTCGCTGTCCTGCAACAGAGCGCACAGGGGCTGGGGACCCATGGGCCACATAGGTGCAGACGTCTGGGGACCCAAACACACACACACACACACACACACACACACACACACACACACAAGGGTACACACTAAAAGAGAGACACTCACAGATCACCAAGGAAGCCTGAGACACATCCCCACATACACAGATACACATGTGCATCCTCAAGATTTTCTAGAAAGACACATCTTTGTGTTCCTACATACAGACACATGCAGATACACACGCAGGAACGCAGACACGTTCACACAGATGCCCAGACACACAATCACACACGGGCGGTGACAGAGGGCAGAGACACGCACGCGGAACCCCACAAACGCGACGACACGCGCAATTCCACTCATTCACTCGTGCGTTCGCTCCACAAACACCCTGTGTGTCAAGCATCGTGGGCTGCGGAGAATCAGAGGGAGAGGTGCCAAGGTTCCTGCCCCCACAGAGCCCCCTTCAGTGGACGGGTGCTCTCTCCTGAGCTCTTATGACACAGTGAGAGAAGTCCCGTGATCGGGGTTGGCTCAGGGGCGCCTGGCTGGGTCTGGGGGGTGTGGACACAAGAGCCAGAAAGGGCTTCCCGCAGGAGCTAGTCAGGCAAAAAGGGGGAAGAGAAGAGGAGGACAAGATGGCTGAGACAGCACGTGCAAAAGCCCTGAGGCAGGAATGAGCTCGGTGAGACCGAGGAACAGGAAGGTGCTGGACGGGAAACGGGGAAGAGTGAGGGGCCAAGAGACCACGAAGTCAGCAGGGGCCAGAGCACTCAGGGAGCAAGAGGGGAGCCCCAGGAGGGTTAGGGACCAAGACAAGCCCGGAAACAGACGCGCACATGGAGCATCTTGACCCTGACCCCCCTGCAGAAGCACTTCCCTTTCCCCACACCCTTCCCCAGCAAAGAGCGTGAACACGCACACACGCACGCACACGCAGATGCACGCTCTGCCCTTGGCTCCAGGCCAGGGCACCGCCATCAGAGGGACCCTTCTTCCCAAACACCCTCGTCCCCCTGCCCGGGGCCTTTTCCCGGCTGGAAGTCCCTCTTCAGAGCCCAGGGACGGGGAGACAGCAGCCTGGGGTCACACAGAAAATCTGCGTGTGGGTCTGGGGGCAGCATCACAGCATGTGGTGAGGGGGCAGCACGAGCAGAGAGAGAACAATGGGGGGGGTCAGCTGGGGTGCCGCAGGCTGACCCTCCTCCGCGCGGGCTCCCCGCCCTCAGCTCCCAGCCCATCTGGACCGGAACTGACACCAGAAGCATCCTGAATCCTGCCGTCTCCATAGGAACCCCGGCCTCAGCCACCCACCCGGGCCTGCAGGGGCTGAGAGATGTCCCTCGGCCTGTGGGGGTGGGAGCCAACCATGGCCCAGCCCCCATGTCCCTCCACCCCCACCCAAAACTCACCTGCATCCAACACCCTCACATCCTCACAAATGTTCACAACGGCGCCCGTGTACCCAAACAGACGGGCACCGGTGCTCACGGGTATATGCAGGGCAGCCCCCAACCCCCCCCCCACACCCCCAGGGACACGTACATGTGGCCACAGGCATTCACGTCCAGCCCTCCAACACCCCCATGCACACTCACAAGCAGGCCCAGCTGGGCATGCACACACACACACACACACACACACACACGCACACACTGGTGCCCGCAGCACCCAGCAGGCCTGGAACCAGCCAGCCCGGCCAAGCGTGAGATGCCTGCCTCCGGTGAGGCCACAATGGGAGGCACAGGCCGCCAGCCGCTGAGTCAGCCCCAGGACACCGGCATGGACATTGTCAGGTCCAGGGGGAAGGTGTCGGCCTGTCGGTGGGGCAGGACGGGGAGGGGAGCTGTCTGTCCCCAGAGGGGCCCAAGCACAAAGCATCCTCCGTCAGCCCCGCGTGTCCACCCTCGGGGTAAGCACTGCCCTCCCCCAGCTCCTGTTCAACGTGACCTCTTGTGCCTGGACTCCCCAGGTCTAGAAGGAGTTCCTCCTCCGTCCCCTGCCCTGTGGCTCCCTCCCCGGGTCTGGCCCCTCCACTCCTCACCTGGCCACCACCTCGTCATCCACCTTCACGAGGCAGTAGGGGTCACTGCTCCCAGACCTGCAGGAGAAGGGGGTTCAGGAAGGAGGTTGAGAGGGCAGCCACGAGCGGGGGTCCCGATCCACCTTCATTATACATACAGAGGGCAGCAACTGCCGGCCAGAGAGGGGAGGGGACTGGCCCAGGGTTACACGGCAGGTACAGCTAAGAAGGCAGGGGCCCGGCAGGCGATGTCCTGGGTGCACAGCCTACCCGCTGCATGCCTGAGTCACCATGCACGGGCTCTCTGGGCTTCCACTCACAGAAATAGAACACTGAGGCATGAGGCCAGAAAGTTCCCAGCGCTGATCTCAGGAGGCCCGGAGCTGTGGCTGGGCTGGGGGGGGGGGGGCGGGGCATCCGGGCTTTACCACCCGCTAGCTGAGGAACCCCATGGGTGCTGCTTTTTCCACTCTCTAATGTTAACACACACCTCCTGGGGCAGTTGGAGGGACTAAAGGAGATAATGCGCGGTGAGATGCATCACGGGCTGACCCCAGAGCTCTCCCCCAGGAGCCTTAACGCCACCCTCTGGGGGAGGCACTGCCCTCCCCAGCTTTTCATTTCCACGAGGCTTACGCTGGGGAGAGGACTCCCAACACTCAGCCTTCAGTGGGGATGGACCTCTGCTGGTATAGACCAGGGCACCCAGATCTCAAAGCTCAACCGATAGCACCGATATGCTGCAGCCCCTTGAGTTGCCATGAGCCAACCAACACCCGCTCTATCCCCCCTTCATAATAAGAGTTACCAGCCACATCCCAAGCTGTCCACTAGGGCCCTCATCTCCCCTCTGTCTCATTGCACAGGCCTCCTTTGCCTTCCACCAAGCTCAGTCTGACCTCAGGGCCTTTGCACTTGCTGTTGATGTCTGCTTAAGACACTCTGTCCCCGATCTGGTCATGGCTGGCTCTGTCCTGTCATTCAAACCTCCACCCCAAAGTCCCTGATCACTTCTGTCCTTTGTAAAATTGATCTCTGATCCCTCTGAGCCCCTGAAGGCATCTTGCTCCCCCGTTTCTCTATTTAGTATCTGTCCCCCGCCAAACTTCTGAACTGTGAGCTCTTTGGAGGAGGACCTGTATCCTCTTTCCCCCTGAATCCTCTGCCTGAGTCAGGATTCAAACCCGGGTCGATGGGGCTCAGCACACATGCTCTTAACCGATGTCACCTCCACCCCACCTCACAATCCTTTCCCCAGGTGGCCCCCTCTCTTGATGTCCCAGCCCCCACCCTGTCTCCCTGCCACCCCCAACCAGCTCAGCACGTCGCTAATCCACAAATACCACAGGGTTTCAGAGCAGGGGATGTTGGCCACCAGGAGCCAACCTGAGCCTTATCTGCTGGATGAATCCTTCCCTGTGCCTCAGTTTCCTCTCTGGACTCCTTCTCTTAACTCCCTCTGTGTGGGTGCTCCAGTGCCTCCATTTCCCTATCTGGCCTCTATCCCTGAACACCTCAGATTGGGTGGTGGCCTGTGTCCCGGCATTCTTTTCTGGGTTCTACTTCCGAACCCCCTTCCGAGCAGCGCCCCAGGCCTCAGTCTCCCCTTCTGAATCTATCTCAAAGCCACTGGGTTCGAGCCTCAGTTTCCCGACCTGGTTCTACCGCCCTGGATGCCTGTGGCTGGGTTAACCCCTGTATCTCAGTTCTCTCCCTGGGTTCTCTATCCTCGAGCTTCTTTTAAGTGGAGTCCCCTTCCTCAGTTTCCCCAACCGCAGACTCGGAGGAAGATTGGCTGGGATCCCAGGAGCAAAGAGCCGGGAGACACGCCCCCTTCTGTCAACCAGACATGACCCTGGGGCCCCTCCTGGGAGCCAGGCTCGCGCACGTCAGCTCCACAGCTCTGACGCACAAGGGCCTTATCAGGCTCCCATCAGGTAGGAGGCGGCAGTGGCAGGAGGCTGCCCCTCGACCCTCAATCTCTCCAGACCCTTGGCCTCTCCCGTGGCCCCTGCCCCGACCCAAGTGTGGGAAAGAAGTCCTCTCAGCCATTGCCTGCCCAGTTTGGTTTATACGTGGGAGCGGTCAGGGCTCAGATCCCAGCTGTGTGACCTTGGGCAAGAGACTTTGCCTCTCTGGACCTCAGTTTCCTCATTTATAAATGGAATTGCTAACAGGACCTACAGAAAATGTTAAGTGCAGGACCTGGCCCGGAGGAAGGCTTATAGTTGCTATCACTAATAATGGTAACACCCAAGGGCGCCTCGAGGCTCAGTCCGTTGGGCGGTTGAGCGTCCGACTTCGGCTCAGGTCAGGATCTCGCGGTTCGTGGGTTCGAGCCCCGCGTCGGGATCTGTGCTGACAGCTCGGAGACGGGAGCCCGCTTCGGATTCTATGTCTCCCTCTCCCTCTGCCCCTCCCCCACTTGTGCTCGCTGTCTCTCTCAAAAATAAGTAAACTTAAAACAATAATAGTAGGGGCGCCTGGGTGGCTCAGTCGGTTGGGCGGCCGACTTCGGCTCGGGTCATGATCTCGCGGTCCGTGGGTTCGAGCCCCGCGTCGGGCTCTGTGCTGACAGCTCAGAGCCTGGAGCCTGTTTCAGATTCTGTGTCTCCCTCTCTCTGACCCTTCCCCGTTCATGCTCTGTCTCTCTCTGTCTCAAAAATAAATAAAAAACGTTTAAAAAATTAAAAAAAAAAAAAAAGAGAAAAGACAAGAGAGGCAGGAAGGCTAGATTAAAAAATAATAATAATAGGGGCGCCTGGGTGGCGCAGTCGGTTAAGCGTCCGACTTCAGCCAGGTCACGATCTCGCAGTCCGTGAGTTCGAGCCCCGCGTCAGGCTCTGGGCTGATGGCCCTGAGCCCAGAGCCCGGAGCCTGCTTCCGATTCTGTGTCTCCCTCTCTCTCTGCCCCTCCCCAGTTCATGCTCTGTGTCTCTCTGTCCCAAAAATGAATAAACGTTGAAAAAAAAAATTAAAAAATAAATAAATAATAATAGTAATACTCAAGAATTATCAGTTGAGACCTCTCCAGAGTCAGGTTGCACACTGCCCTCAAACTTGACGAGGCTTCAGGAAGAGTCTGGGCCCTTTCTCTTAGAGACGAGAGAGAACACATCCCACCTGAGTCTCCATGGGCTTGGAGATCCCAGCATGCTCTGAAGAGAGCCTCTCTGACGAAGGGAGTCAACGGCCAGGGAAACTGAGGCAGGGTGGCTGGATCCCCAATGAGAGCTTAGTGACTCCTTTCCCCCCTTGCTCTGGGGCTCACCTTGGCCCGGGAACTTGGGGAAGGAGGCGTGGCCGAGAGATGTAGGAACCAGGTATGAGTCAACTTCCTCCGCAGGAAAGGCAGAAGGAGCCCCACGAGGCACGTCCAGGGGCCAGGGCGGTGCCCCCCACTCCCTCATGGCCCTCGTTCAGGACTGTGAGACGGACGCCTGGTTTCTGGAGGGGCCCCCCTCAGCCCTCCAGCAGTTTCCAGGCCCCCACTCTAGCCCCGCTGCCCCCACAGTTCCAGAATCTCCTTCTCAGAGGCTCTGAGAGGGTGTCCCAGAAAGAGGGAAGCCGAGGCTTGTCCAGATGCTGCGTTCACACAGCGAGTGCTCTGCTTCTATGTCAGGTGCATGTTTATTTGGGGTGGCTGATGAGGATGAGGGGAAGTTACAACTGTTCTAAGCAGCCCAGTGTTGGGGAGGGGCGAGGTTCGCGGAATCAAAGGCAGGATACTCCTCACTGGGGACCCACAGCTGGGGGAGTCAGGGCATAGCTAAGCCCCAACCTCAACTTGGGCAAAGCCTCGGAATCCAGATCTCGGCTCACCTTGGCCACGGGAGACATCCTAACAGGTCCCCCACCCCCACGGCTGCATGGGGCTGGGCGCCTCCTGGCCAGGGCTCCTATGCCCTGGTGGGAAATGGAGACCCAACAGGAACAAGGTTCAAGGTCACACAGTTGATATCCTGCCAAGGATCCCACACCTGTCCAGGTGCTGACACCTCAGAGCCCCTTCTGGGCTCCAGGCCAAGCAGGAGGGGGACCCCTCCTGACGTTCTGCTGATTTGGCAACTGCTGACTCAGCCCTGGGGGAAGCATAGCCAAGGACTGGTACTAAGGGGAGCCCAAGGGTCTTCCTGCTCCATCACACCTGGCTGGGGAGGGGGCTCCCGGGAGAGGGTGCCCCCTCCAGCAGCTCAGCATCCAGGGAACTCCTAGCTGGGGAGCTCAGGGCTCTGGGTTAAGAGGACCCCAGCTTCCCTCAGGCCTGATTGATGGGCCACCTGATAACACAGATGCGAATGCTGAGGCCACCCAGCCCTCTGGGCCTCCTTCCCAGGTTTCTTTTGATAGGCACCCACCCAGGCCTGGAGAAGCCCCACCTCCCGCACCTGCCGGCACTAAGGAAGAGACCCCCCCCCCGCCCCTCGGTCCAATCCCAGCTCCAACAGAATCCGACCGTCCAGTCCCCTTTTAGCACATCCCAGGAACAAAGACATCCCTCTTCCTGGGGGCAGGGTGGGGCGTCTGCTAAGTCTGGGCACCCCCTCCCACTAGGACAGCGATGGCCATGGGGCCTCTCGCCCCGTGAAGGCGGATGTGCCCCAACACTGTGTCTTACACAAGAAGCCCCTGCCCACGTCACCGACCCTCCCTGGCATGCGGAACGGGTGCCCCCCCCCCCCGCCCCATCCCATGTCCGGTGTGCCCCTCACCCGCGACCCGCCCCAGGGTACTCACACGTCCTTGGCAGGCAGCGCCCGGCCCTCCACCACGCGGACGTTCAGGGAGCTGCTCTTGGCCATGGCGCCCAGCCCCAAACTTTACGGGCAGAAGGGTGCCCAGGCGCCGAGGCTGGACCGCGGAGGGGGCGTCTACATGTCACCAGCTGCGAGCCTGGCGCCCTGTCTCGGGGTCCCAGCGCCGCCCGTCCGAGACGCGGGTAGCTGGGGGGGTAGGTTTCCGAAGGAGAAGAATAGGTGTCCGGGGAGGGGGCGCCCCTCGGACTCTACAGGTAGGAGCTGTGCGCGGAGGAGACAGAGCGCGCAGGGGCCACCGGCGGCTCTCGCCTCGTAGGCTGGAGCTCCGGGAGGGCGGGCAGGGGGCGGAGGGGCAGCCCAGGGCCCTCCCCCCAATCCCGCCTCCCGCGTGTCCCCCGCCCGTCCCCGGGCCCCCTCGCGCGCCCTCTGCCGGAACCCCAGCCAAGCGCGCCTGAGCGCACCGGCGGCGGAGACCAGGGCGCGCGGAGGCTGGGACCGCCAGGTGGGGGGCGGCCCACGGCCACGGCGGGCGTGGCCGCTGGCTCGCGGTGAGTTGGCATGGGGCTCAGAGGACACAGTAGGTCCCCTGCCTGCCCTCCCTCCGACACACTCGCACCTCCCCGGCCCTTCCTTGCCGACCATCCCGGCGCCACCTCCTGGATCGCACCTCCGTGTCCTGTCCGGGAGCAGTACCCGCGGTCGGCGGGAGGCGTCGCTAGAGAGGGAGTCGCACATTCCCGGGGCGGGGGGGGGGGGCCCAGTCCGTTCAGAGTCAAGGGAGGGGCCTCGAACATCCCCTTCCCTGTCGTTTAGTTTCCAATTAAACCCAGACTGTGCGAGCGGCTGCTCCCACGTCACGGGCTGGCACTGCGGGGGAGGCAGCCGCGGCCGGAGGGGGAGGGGAGGCCTGAAGATAACAACCACGACAGCGGTGACAAGTCGTCCCCAATCGTTGGAACACTTACTGTGCGCCAGGCGCTGTTCTAAGCGGTTTGCAGGCAGTCTGTCGTCGTCGTCCGTCCCCATGATGATTCCACGCACTAAGTACCGTTGCCCCGTTGCCCCCATTTTATGGATAAAGAAACAGGTTCAGGGGGATGAGACGGCTCATGAAGGCGTCGGTCAGTAATTGGTTTGCCTTCCTGGGTTTGAAGCCTGACTCAACCACTTGGTAGCCGTGACACTGAGCAAGTCACTCAGCCTCCCTGCGCCTCGGTCTGGTTTCCTCGTCTGCTCCGTGGGAATCACATAGAACTTTGCTCCCAGAGCCTTGCGAGAATTAGGTGAGATAAAGCACCTGTGGAAGCAGCAGACACAGGTCTCAAAACAGTAGGGGGGGGGGGTCCCGAAGGGGCTTGCTGTCCTTATTCTTGTCCTCCTAGGCATGACTCAAACATCAGCCCGCCTAGGAAGACTTGCAAGACACAGGCTTTCTTTTCTCCGCTCCTCAGCTCCAGGTTGGGACATTTTTCAAGTCTTAAAACTTGCAGTTTGAAAAGCACATTTGAAACAATGTGACAGGAAGAGCCTGTCCCGGGGCAGCGCCTGACACACAGGGTTTCTCGCCCCCCCCCCCCCCCCGAATATCCCCCCCTCCCCCCACCACGAGTTTGTTGTTTACCCGCCTAAGGGTTCTTGGAAGAGCTGGCACCAGGCCTGACTCACTTGGGTCAGCCCAGGGCTGGGCACCAATGGGAAGGCCCCCACGGAATGACTGCAGCAGCCAACGCCCAGACCGGCGGGACCAGGGGAGCCCTGCCCAGCCACCGGAGTAGCCATCAGCCTCCCAAGCTCCCTCCTTGACTTCCCACCCAACGACTCCAGCCGGGCTGGTAAGGGATTCAGATCCCTGGAGTTCTCCCCCCCCCCCCAGCTGGCCACGATCTGTTGAGTCCTGCGACCTCCAAAGACAGGTCCTCAGTTACCCCATCTGGGGTGTGGGTCTAGCTGGGCTTAGAAGTATTGCAACATCCTACAGCGGGGTACGAGAGGTGATCCAGGGTTGAATCCGGAGCAGTAGTAGCCCCAGGGGAGTGTTAAACACCCACCCTCCCCACTCTTGAGCCTTACCAGTCACCCCCGATCCTCACCAGGGGAAACCGGTACGTGCTTCGTGAGAGCTACTTCAAGACGGGCTTTTTTTCTCACCCCCACCTAGGGGGGAGCTTTTGGCTAACGCTTTTTCTTCTGAGACCCTGCAGAGATCTCAAACAGGCTATCCAGCCCCCAGGGACCCCTGGTGGAACCTGAGGGACCTAGTCCTGGGCCACCTGGGATGCCAGCCAAACCGCCACCAGCCATCTCGGCCAGTCTTCCGGAGCCGAGCAGGAAGTCACGTTCCCGAACACCCCTCCCCAGGCCCCCAGGGGGGTTATGAAGGTTACGGACTGTGCCAGCCAGGCCGCCAAGGAGCTAACTCTGTCACCTGTCCAGTATCCGGCATTGGACCCTGAAATGCGCCTGGGGCTGTGGCCACAGACCTCAAACGTTCCGAATGGCTTGGCTACTTCCTGTTGTTGTGAGAAGCTTTGACTTGAAACTGGCATAGGGTTTGGGGTCTCCCAGGGCAGCTCCTATCAAGGGGCCAACGGGTGACGGTGGCCGAGAGGAGTGTGGGACCTACTCGTGGTTACCCAGCTAGGAGAGGGGAGCGTGGGTCATGAGCACCCAAGCCTGGGCTGTCATGTGGAAGGGGCTCACCTTTCTCACGGGCTGTTGTGAGAGGTAAGCAAGAGGCGGTGGAGGGCACCTGGCATCATTCCTGGCACATAGTAGGTGCTTCAGAAATGGTTAGCCTCCTCCCCTTCCCCTTTCCGCTAAGCCCATGATCATCTCCTTGCTCACCGTCTACATGGTCTAGCACCCATGGGGTGCACGCAGCAAGGGCTCCCTAAACCTATAAGCGGGAAGAAATGCTGAGCTCAGGAGTTAAGAGCAGAGGTGTTAGCATCCAGCCAAGCCAACCCGGGACTGCGTCCTGGCACCTACACTTCTGAGCTGGGTGTTCTTGGTGGCTTACCCTTTGGGGGCCTTAGTTTCCTCATCTGTAAAGTGGGGATCATAATGGCACCCACCTGATAGCCTGGGTGTGAGGACTGGATGGAAAAAACATCAGGTGTTTAGCATAGCCTGGCATACAGCAAGGGCTCAGTAAGTGCCCATGGGACCTCCTGACCCCCTGCTGTGCCTGGCATTGAGCCCCACCGGGTGGCTGAGTTCTGAGGCTGGATCTTGAGGATGTGGCCCATGGGACACCAGGCCCCACCCCGAATTCCAGGGAGGGATAGAACAGCCACACTTGTGGGCGGCTGCAGGTTGCTGAGCAGGGGGAATCTGGAAGTTTGCCTCTCAGCAGAGAAAATCTGATAAGAGAAGTCCCAAGGTCAGGTTCTTGTACCCTGATGGGCCCTACCGCCCAGAACTGGCTGAGTCCACCCCCCCCCGCCCCCCACTGCATCCGAAAGGCTGATCCTGGGGCCCAGGGAGAGCTCATAAACACAGCAGAGAGAGCTTCTCATGTCAGAGGAGGGACCGGGCCTGGGCACTGGTGACCGCTCCTGAGGGCTGGCTGTGCCCATGGCTTTCCGACTCCTTGTTCAGCCATGCCACATTGGGAACTTGAGATCGTCCAAGGTGGGAGAATTTACACCATGCAGGTTGGCAAATGCTACAGTGGGGGGGGGGGTCAGTTTAATAACACACCGCTCCCGAACTCAACACTTAAGATTTCAGTCACGTCCCCTCACCCCACCCCACACTGCCCCTGCCCTGTCTGTTCCTTCCACCAGGAAAGCCCTTCCACTCCCTTTTCTACCTGTTTCCTTGTTTACGTCCTACTGATTCAACTGAATCAAGATTAAGGGGGGGGGGGGGGCGGTGAACAAAGGATAGACAATGTCATGTCAATGTCATAGACTACTACAAAGCTGTTAAAACGGATGTTCTCAAAGACGGGAAAAAGGCTGAAAAAGAAAACGTAGGTAATGGGGAAAACACAGTACACATGACCAGCTATACAGCATGATTCTGATGCCACAAAATATTATATGTATATATATATATAAAATATTCTTTTTACTCCACGGATCCGTATCGAGTGCCCGCCGTGTCCCAGGCAGTGGGGATACAGTGAAGGTATAAAACAGCCCAGCCCTGCTCTCCTGGGGCTCTCGGGTGGAGTGGGGAACTGACAGAAGGAGCAGGTAGCTAACGAAATCACTCCTGGGAGGAGGTAGGAAGTGATACGCAGATGATAAAGCGGGCATCGGAGTGGGGCAGGAGCCCCAGGGCTTTCCTGGACATGATGACATGCGCTGCTTTCACAATCAGAAAAATAATGCGTGCGCCCTCCAGTTTCTGAAGGCACTGCTGGCCTTTGAGGCTGGCGCACGGTCTCCGGGTAGCCCTGGAAGGCAGCTGGGAAGGCAGCCACGACCACCCCCCTCCACTCCCCTCACCCCTGCCTGTTGGCACCGTTCTGTGACCTTGGTCTCTTGTTCGCTTGTTTGTGGTATTTTACACACTCGTCTTATCTCTTAAATGTCAGGGACAATGTCTGATTCATGCCGCGCCTCCCACACCGCGTGGCACATTAAGAAAGACTCAGAACGCACTCGCTGGGTTAAACAGAATTCTGTTCCCCTCCAGGGCTGGAATCTGGCCTCTCTCGTCGTGATAATAGTCATATTATTTTTTTACTTCCTTTCTCCCCGCGGCGCCCAGGGTGGCAGCTTAATCAGTGCTGACTTAACCCCTCTCCACTACACCTCCGCCCCCAAACCGGGGACAGACCCCTCCTCTGGCTCCACAGACCTGTCTGCCCCTCCAGACCTCAGTTTCCCCTCCTGGAAGTGGCACCATCCCTTCTGAGGCCAAGGCCGGGGGCAAGGCGGACAAACCCGGGCCCGGGTTGGGGGTGAGGAGTGCGTTCTTTGTCTCGGGAGCACAAAGCCCCATTTGTGATCGCGGGGCACGATTCTGGGCAGAGAGCCACGTGGGACAGGAGGCAGCGGTGGGAGGAGTGGGCAGGATTCCCAAACCCCTCCTGTAGGCTGGCTGCCGAGGAAGCAGTAGGTCCCCTCCCCCCACAGCCTGAAACACCGTGTCCGGCTGCCAGTCTGACGCCCTGCTTCCTCCTTCCTCGGCCCTTCTCCCTAAGGTGGCCTCCCCACCCCTGCCTTGGAATGGAGAAGTAGGCAGGGGGAGGCCACCCAGGCATGAGATCTGCGGGCGGGGAGAGTGGATATTTCCAGAGCTACGGGTTGTGGCCAAGGGCAAGGCCAGCCTAGAAGTTGTGTCCTGCTGTCACTCAGCAGCCCGACCCAACCCGTCTCCCAGGCCAAGGGGACAGAGAGGTGGGGGGAGGGGGGCTGGGACCTCTGCCTCAGCAGCGTGGCAGGGGAGCCCCAAGAGGACCTGGAAGCAAGGCCCCACTTAAAGCAGAAATGCAAAGGCCTGGGGCATGGAGGGGTGTAGCCTGACCCATCCCATCATCCCTGAATTCTACACACCGACAGACAGACCTTTGTTCTCTTGTAGGAAGAAGCCACATCCTCCTGCCTCAGGGCCTTTGCACATGCTGTTCTGTCTACTTGGAATACTTTTCCTTTCTTCTTCTCACCCCTCTTTATCCTTCAGGTCTGGGTTCACATGATACTTTCTCAGAGAGGCTTCCCTCCCTGCTCCTTACACCCTGGGCTTCTTCCCCTAGGCCTTCCAGAGCATAATGACATATTTGCAGTCATTTGAGGCCTCTGACCTCCCCATCAGCCTGTATGTCCCATGTGGGCAGGATTTGCCTTAACCACTGTTGTATCCTCACACGGTGCCTGCTACAGAGTAAGTGCTCAATAAACATCTGCCCTCCCGCCCCCCCCCACACCCAAACAAACCACCTCTAAGGGAACAGAGATTAAAAAGGGAAGGACGCCTAGCAGCTTCAAGATGAGGACACCCTCCGAACAGGAAAGGAAGGGAATGGAGCCTGAGGAGGGAGAGATCCAAGACGGGCTCAAGGGTATCTGAAGTACTGTAGTTGAGAAGGTGGGCTCCACGTCCAGACGGCGGAGTTCAAGTCCCGCCTTGGGCTTGGCACATCGCATGAAGGAAAAAGCAGCAAATCGGACCGTCAACGTTTAAAACTGTTCTTTGCGAGAGACCACGTGAAGAGAATGAAAAGACAAGCTACAGCCTGGGAGAAAATACCCAACAGAGGTCTATCTGGAACATCCAGACGTGTATCTAGAATATATAAAGAGGTTCCCCAAACCCAACGGCTAAAAACAATTCATTAGAACACAGGCGACAGATGCGGAACTGATATTTGGCCGAAGCGGAGACACAGATGGCAAAGAAGTACGCAAAAAGATGTTCCTCATCATTACAGCCAGTAGAGAAGCACAAAGACCACGAGGAGACATCACTGCACCTATCAGAATGGCTAAAA